GGATGTACTATCTCTTGCCCCTGCCTAAATTTGCCGGAACTAAATTTTACCTATCAATCCTTTTGATCCCAGTTCTGCTCCTCCCAGCTGTGAAACTGTCGGGTAGGTGTGTTATGCGAGAGCCATCTGAGATGCTCGTAGTGTTCTCTGAATTCTCTCACCTCAAAAACCTATTTACTTTATTTCCTTATAAACCCTAAACCCTATACCCTAAAACCTTCACCCCTACCGTTAAACACTCGGTTGTAAGACTATGCGAGGATCTGGGTCCTCGGCAGGCCTAAGGGGCCCCGGTTGCAGTGGTGCCTGCCCTAAGTGAAGGCGGGCCTAACTTATCACAAGAGGCCTTTGACTGTCAATTTCATATTTGGGGTACAGGCAGTTGCGACGCGCCAGTTGGTTGAAAGAAACACAGGCCGAGCAACAAAGACATTTCCACGGCCTACCGGGCCTTTCCAAAGAATGCAGGCCCTGGGCGTGAATCGCAGCCTCATACACTGACAGTTGGGAGACCCAACCGATGAGGCCCAGTAGCTGCAGAGCAAAGGCAGCATCCTGGGGCCTTCCGGAAGCTTCTGGGCCCAGGCCAGTGCAGGCGCGGGCAGGCCAGCTCTTTCCATAAAGGAAAGAGCTCTCCCCCGGCAGTGGCATTCGGTCACTTGCTGGCTGGCGGCAGCGCTGCTGGAGCGATAGCTCGCGGGCTGGCTGCTGGCACTGGGAGCAAGAGGCTGCGCACGTGCGGTCGTGTGGTGAAGCAGAGCGCTGCTGAGAGCCTTCATAGCGGGCTGGGCTTGGATCCACAGTGAGGCTCAGGGGTGGTCTTCAGGTGTAAGAGAGGACATGCGTGGGTGTAAAGACAGGGAAGGGTGAAGGATGATGATGATGATGTGAGGGCACATACCTTGTATTGGCGATGGTCTGCATAAGGGCGACATCTTCAAGTGCTTCGGGTTGCCGCTGATGTCAACAGTTGCATTGTCTACTAGTAGGCTGATCGTAGCTGTGTAGGAGTTGGCTGGGCGCTGAGCGCCAAGTAGGAGTGTGAAGGGACTGGACTCTTGTGTTGTGGCGGAGAGAGAAGCTCTCCTTGACATTGGTTTTCAGTACTACGAACCTCCATTGGTGTATTATTGGTGCAATGCTGATCTCTGGACACAGTGTGACTATCTGGCTTTCAATGTGATGATGTAATCTGGAATTTGTCATCTCGCTGTTGCTTATTTTCCTTGCAATTTGGTATCGGAGCTGGTTCATATTGCGCTTCATTGGTTCTTCGCAATAGCTATTCGGTGCTTCGCATGAGGTGTGGGGCAGTGATAAGGCTTGGGCGTTGAACGAAGGGCGGCCCAGGGTCGTGTGGGCGCGCCAGGGAGCTATGTGGTGACATACGGGGTGTATGCTGGATGATGAGACCTCGCTGATGTGACATATTAAGCCGAGGTGGAACTGCATTCCGCTGTTGGTTGTGCCGAGGCCAAGACCGGTCATCATAAATGCACATCAGGTTGCCGGTGAGAAATCTGTGGTTGGGGGCAGCATTATGAGGTTCGTTGCTCTCTTCCTTATCTAACCTCTTCGTTACTTCTTACCGTGAGGAAGTGAGTTATGTTTTGAGAGTCCTCTCGATGTGAGGTGTCGCGAGCGCTCAACCTTGAGAGTCGACATTCTTCCTGGGCAGCAAGCTGGTGGGAGACGGGTGAAGCCTCTGAAGGGCCCTGGACGAAGCACT